ACGATAGGTTATAAACCTCAAGTCGTGTGCTAGTGTTAACTAACAATTTTATTCTTAATTAGTACTTGAAACTATTCAAAAATCTTAAGACTTCCACTGACCTCTTGACATATAAGATTCATTTTGTCAAGGAACACTACTTGACAAAATATTCAAGAGTTGGTGCGGTTTCTAATCAAGACTAACACTTCTAACAATTGGTATTAGTTGGTCTTTGTTTTATCCAAAACATCACATCTTACCAATTTCAAATGTACAATAGTAAGAAACATTTTACTCTACATTTGATAACTGTTATAAACCTTTCTTAAGATTATGTCACTCAAGTTACAATCTTGGAGTACAACTCTATGATTTGATTTTGGAACGAAGTATGATTCATCTATTTGATTTAACCATTCCAACAATTCATGATTCCTCTTCTTAGCCATACAAATGCACTAAGATGTCCTTAGAGGATAAATTGTGATATGGTTTTCCATAATCATTAAGATAATCATAAAACATGATACTAATGTACTCTCCCATCTTTTCAGATTGAAGAAACTTTTATCTTTCTGCCTAATTTGATTCTTCTTATTCGTCCTGCTATACATTGAAACCCTTCCAATGATTCAGAATTATACTTAAACTTGTAAGTATAACCATATTTACCAAACTTTAGTAAATCATGACGAATAGTCTTATCGATCTTTGTGGTGGACCTAACCAGCACACAATGAAGTGCACCAGCTCTCCCAGTCCTTCACTTGACTCACATCTTCATGTGAACAAGGAATTAGTCTTAATTTTCCAAAGATGAAAATTCTCATTCATCATACAATACAAGTTGCATGATTCCAAGTTTCTATCCAATTGAAACTTGGGTGATGAGAATCTTTCCTTATTTGGTAAATTTAACACTACCACAAACGAAAGAATCAAATCCACTTTCCAATATTGCCATCAATGGAAACACATAAGCAACAATGTTTCACAAATGCCATTGTAAGGATACTTTTAAAATAAGATAAGAACAAAATTTTTCTTTATTTATAAAACTGCGGAAAACTTGTCCTTATAACACAAATACAAGTGAAAACTATGTTGTTATCTATTCCTAAGTAATTTATCATAACTCTTTAAGCAACAGCTCATAAATCTGATCACCGAACCATGCAATCGAAATTCATTTCTTCGCAATTAGACACAACATACTCTTCCTGTAAGCTTCCTTTGATTCTACAAAACATCAAAATGCAATCTTTTCACATCATGTATTAAGAATCAATCATTAGGAACTTAATAGAGTTAGATAGTGGACATATATGAAGTAGAGTCAAACATTTTGACTTTACCATCTCGTTGATCTCTCAGGTAGTCAGGGCAGCTTCGCTTCTAATGTCCCTTCAAATGGCAATAGAAACAAATGGCTTCGGGAAGTAGATCTTCCAATCAAATTTGCTTTACCAGTGCACCAAATCATTTCTGATTCAGTAGCAACAAGCAAATAGGTAAGATCAATAAGGGTCATGTCGTGGTCTGTAATATAGTAATCCTTTAAAACTCACTATATGACTCAGGGAGGGACTGAAGAACCCATTCAACATCCAACTTCCTCAAGACTTCGACACCCACCTCTTCCAGCATATGTCGACTTTCCATCCTTGGATTTGTTTGCCAATAGGGATTGAGTTACCTTGAACTTTTCAAGTCTTTAAACTTGTGGGTTAGGGAGAATATTTGGAGGAGGTGGAGGAATTGAAGTATGATTTCTAGTTCCACTAATGCACGACAGAGGGATTAATCTTTCACCTTGATTGCCATGTGGGATATCATATTCATTAGGAAATTCTTTTCCAAAAGGATAAGGAAGACCATAGTTGTCACAACTAGACATCTGCGAGGGAGAAATTCAAGTTAGTTGATTTAAGTCCTTAATATAACACTCAAAATGAATATATTAAGGCTAGGACCCAACACAATATTTTACAATTGCGAAGAGGGATGCCGTAATCCAATTGTAAAATATTTGAAGGTAGGTAAATAACGATTTACCAATTTCCACCATGAAAAACGAAATAGATTATTAAGTTTTAATTGGATTTGAAATTCCTCGATCCTTTGAGATTCATTGAATTTTTTCAATGGCATGTTTAAATCTCGATTGTGCCCTCTCAAGTTTGTGACTGGGATGCCGAAGATCACAAACAAGGTGTGAATAACCATGCAAATTAGCTTGGTACACTCAATGTTACAAATCACCTAATCAATGTGCCGGTTAACCACACACGCTCCATTGATATATGATTAACATCAAGCTACCCTTAGCCACTCACTATCAGTCCCAAATTAGTGTGCCGATTAACCACACACGCTCCACTAACGATTTAACAAGGTGCTAAGTGCAATTTCATGGGGTAGCACCATTTTCCACATTTTTCCTAAAGTAACTAAGAATGGAAATTTAATAAAAGTTTATTTACTTTATAATTATCATTATACTTATAATGAGGATTAGTGTCCTGTCCTACCCGTTCGGCTAACGACCCTCCACCAGTCAAGGAAGCGGTGAGTGAGAGTGGACACCCATTAAACTGCCATTTTATAGGCAGTAACCTTATACCCCCCTTATAGACCGGCTTCGTGAATGAGGCCTACTAACGGTAAGACTGACTTATTCTTATACATATATATATATATATATATATATATATATATATATATATATATATATATATATATATATATATAAGTATTAACTTTTAATATTATAATAGTATAAGGGTTGAATTTTTTAACTTTTAAAACTCTAGGGTTTTGGAATTAAATGTCTTATTAATGTGACTTTTCATATAACTTGAGGACAAGTTACAATAACACATAACATGAATAATTAGATCAAATTTTGGATCAAACACAATTATCATATAATTCTTCCTATTGATCTAAACTAACTCATAACAAGACAATTCATATCAAATACTACAAATAATCACTTTATTATCTAGACATTTGACAATTGCCTTTTAAATGGATGAAAACTATCATTACCAATTCAGAAAATACTATTTTTATGACTACAAAACAGTTTGTGGTAATGATCCTATCCATTTCTGGCCAAAAACTCGAAATTCTGCACCTGATCAACCAACTCGTCGAGTCCTGATCAACCAACTCGTCGAGTCCATGAACTGGACTCGTCGAGTAGCTTCATTTCTACATGGACTCGTCGAGTCCATCAGGCAGAATGCAGAAAAACTCGATTTTTTCAACTTTGAAACTTAGCCATGCATCAAATATAACAGAAAATAACTCATGGCTCTGCTACCACTGTTGGGTTTTGTATACCAACAACATCCTATGGTGCACATACAACCCTAAAAGCTTTGGATCTATATTTTCTCTAATTATACACGCAATATTGTTTCCAAAGCTTTAAGCCTACAACTAGCATACAATATGACAATTTGAACAATTCAACTAGTTAGATGACTTACCTCTTATTAGGACTTGTAGTTCTTGGCCGTTGAAAGCTTTAGCACCTCAAGTGTGATGCCTCTAAGCTGTCACAAACACCATATGCAAGAGGAGGCTTGAGAGAATAAGTTATCTTGCACAAAATCGTTTCTCACTCACTAAGAATGTATTAGGCAACGATTTTGGTTCTAGAGGGGTCTTTATATAGTGTTGCAAAGGTTAGGGTTTCATCCATGAAACCCTAAAGCTCCATGACCTTCCATATCCCTTAGGCTCCATGGGTTAAAGCTCCATGGACTATCCATGAACTATTTAGCCCATCCTAATGGATCATTGGCCCACACTACAAGAATGATTGATTTACATAATCAACCCCTTATATTTAATTAGTCTCTTTTCATCACTAAATTAATTCCAAATTAACTCTTTACCAATACTAATTAAATAATATGATTTCTCAATTAATATATTATATTTATAATATATTAATAAATCACAAATAACCGTATTCTTAAAAGTCCATCCTATCAAACTGCACTGGTGAAGGCAACCGAAAAGGACCATGCCACTATCGGGTCAAGTACATACCAGTTATAGTTATGGGCTTAGACACCAAATCCAACAGTTCACTCTGCCCATCAGTCTAGGGGTGGTAAGTTGTAGTGAAGTGTAGCTGCGTGCCTAACTCATCATGAAATTTCCTCCAGAACCTGGAGGTGTATCGCATATCACGGTCCGAGACCACATATACATGCACCCCGTGCCTGACTACCACTTCCTGTACATAGATATCTACTAATTTCTCTGCGGATATACTCTCGGTAAGCGGAATAAAATGCGCACTCTTGGTCACCCGGTCCACAATAACTCAAATAGAACCAACACCCCACGTTGTCCTGGGTAACTTCGTTATAAAATCCATGGTGATCTCCTCCCATTTCACTACTAGAAAAACAGCCTTTTACGATGCGTAATGTGTGTCGTAAAACGCTCAGACGACGCGCAAATGCGTGTCACGAAAGGCCCTGTCATAACGAAAGACGACACACTTTTTCGCGTTGTCTATTTACGACGCGCATTTACGATGCACATTTACGACACACATTTACGACGCACAGTTACGACACGCGATGCGTATCAAGGAAGGCCCTGTCATAAAGGAAGACGACACGCATTTGCGTGTCGTAATCTTACGACACGCGTTTAGGACACGCATTGCGTATCATTAAAGCCCCTGCCATAAATGAAGATGACACGCATTTGCGTGTCATAAACGTCAGCAACCATTTACGATATGCATATACGACGTGCCTTTACGATATTGATTTACGCATAATACAAAAATATATAAACAAATATATACCAATACAATCAATTTCATCCAATAACATAATGTCAAAAAATTGTAATACATTGGTATTAAGGGGATCTAATTGTACATTGTTATTAAGAGGTTTTCCCTAACTATATAATATAATACTACATTGATATTAACGGGCACCTTGTTTCAGATATCATGTCAAAAGAAATCCTCCATATCATTAGTTTGCCACCGGTTCCTTTCGTGAATAAACAGATGGAGCGACTCCGCCTTTTTCAGAAGCATGAATCCAATTGGGTTGATCAGTCCCATGAAGATCTTTAGCTACAAGTTCTTGAGTAGGAGTAGGCTGAGACATGTCCTGAACAAAAATACTTCAAAAAAAATTAGAAAATTAAACTGTTGAAAACATATGAAATTAGAAGAAAAGAAAGACAGTGAAATTACCAATGTAGGTAGGCATTCATTTGTGTGTTTTCTGAGCACTGAAAACCACCATGAATGCTTGTGTCTGAAGCTGTTAAGACTTTGTAGAAAGAGTGGATACTGGCCTTTGGAGGGTCATCAATGCATTTATCAAGACTAGTAGGATCACTTTGCTATCCATTATTAAAAAAAAACAGTTACAAAAGGTCATAAATTGTAAAGAACTTAAGATGTGAACTCTTACATCTGCTTCTGGAACTAGAGTGATTTAAGCATAAACTTCATATGTATCTTGTTCAGCCTGTAATGGTAACAAAATCTAGATTATAAAACTTCATAATCCAAATCACACACTGTAAGAACAACATGTTTACATACTTACCAGAAGCTGAGTATAAACAACACGAACATGTTGTTGAATTACAAACTTACACATTTCTATAACCTCTCCCTCTCCCTCTGGTAATTTCCTCTTCAAACCTGATCCTCCAGATTTAATAAAGCATAAGACTGTCAGTCTATAACCTCAACAATAAAAACAAAACAAATTATTATTAAAATCAAATAATGGTAATACAAATTGTGGGACAGCAGGGTCTTCTTCTATGATGGGATATAAAGCAGCCCTGCTGCAAACAGGGTTCTTTGGAATTTCCATTGGTGAGGCAGAGGTGAGAGCATCGGAGAGTGAGAGTGTAAGGAAAGCAAGAGATGAACAAGAGAGGCAAAAAAGAGAGCAGAGTGAAAGAGAGGAGATATTGAGAGCTGAGCAAGAGAGATTTTCTCAGATATACTAATATAATATATACCTGTATGAGCAAATGCTAAGAGAGCAGAGAATAAAAGATGAGATGGAAAGGAAGAATCGAAGAAAGTGAAAGCTACGAAACATGCAGAATATAGAAAGAAAAGAAAAGAGTTTTTCATTTACTACCTCCATAAGCCTAGGTATCTAAAAGCAGTAAATTACATAGTTAAATAAATGTCTTGTAGAAGATAAAATGAACTACTAACAAAATCATACCAAGGGGGTTTCTCGTTTTCCTTTATCTGCCAATACATCACCAGTTATCAACAAAAGTGAATACAACTCCTCCATTGTTGTAGTTGGATCATTTATTCCACTTCCCTGAAAAAGTGCAAAGATTGTCATGGAAAAACAGCATAAGCAGAAAAGTTAATAATTTTAGATGAATGATTTCATCTAAAAGTGGTAAATTAGTTTCATAAGATTCTATATTTACCCTTCGGTTGAACTGATGATTATGTTGGAGCAGATACAGTAGAAGTTGTTGGATCAGAAGCAACACTCTCACTGCCAATCACTAGTCGAATTGGTACAGACCCTTCTTGTAGTTTCATTTTGATTTTCTCCTTCTCTTTCACTTACATTTTACTTGATCTTATCTGTCATTAAGGGTTAATGGGTTATATATATACAAAATTCAATAAGAATAAATTATAATATTCACACGAAAAGACAACATGATAATATGAAAAATATATCTTACCCTCCTTTTCATAGCACAAAAGTTGCTGTCAGAAGTAGAAGGGGTAAGAATTTGATGAACAAGTATTTTAACAGGAACATTTTCTGTTGTAATTGAAGGACACAACCTTGATGACTCATTGATTGCCATCACCTTAAATAAATAAATAAAAATATGTAAAATAATATAGGAAAATTCTATATGCCACCTCCCCTGTATTTTTTTAAAATAATATAGGAAAATTCTATATCACCTTAAATTCAGTGATGTTTAAGACTGAAGGCTGTAAACACCACCCCAACACATTTTTCCAGTGGCAAATCTCAATGGTGAATTATGACAAAAATGGTAAAAATCCCATTTGTCAAAAAACTACCACACACCTTTTAGCCTTAAGTAACCATGTTAAAACTAAGACTTTTCTAAACAAATTCAAATTTATTATGTCATCAATATAGATGCTCTTTGTGATAAATGTTCAAAAAAATGACTTTAACCCTAAAAATAGGGCTTATAATTTAATGTTGTTTGACAAACTTCATTGTTTGATCAAGTTTCTAAACACAAACTCATCTGTAGACTTAGATATGTATTTTTCTGGAAGCAACCCATTAGAGAATTAGAAACATTACTTCCATATAAAAAGAGGCTCAACAAATATACCTGAGAGAAGTTGGAAGAGAGCATATTAGTAATCATTTCTTCAATTCTATTTTCTTCTTGTTGCTGGACATCAAAAAGTTTATTGCTAGGCTCTGCAAAGTCAAACATATCAGGTAAATAAAGAATCCTAGTTTAGTTATAAATAATGCAATAATGAAGTAACATACCTAAGTGTATGAAGACTTCAGAAACTTCAGGATGCCAATTCTGAATATGGTAACGAACACTTACACCAATTTGATGTGCTATGCTCACACTACACAAGGGATCAACCTGCAATGCAATACAATAAAAAAAATCCATGTTGTACGTAAGTGTAAGTAAGTACAAGATAGGCCAGTCACTTGGATCTTTACATCAAGATAGAGATATGAACCAGCTCTCCTTCCCCTAATGTGTCTGCATCCCTGTAAAAGTGTAGAATTTTGTATGAGAGTCAAACCAAAGTATACTACAACAAACAGGTTAGATTATCATGCCCGAGACAACACGACCAATTATCAAGGTGGAGGAATTCACAATTATCTTTATTAATTAAAATCATTAGATGAATTATCTACACCAACAAAGATTGAGGGTATTAATGTCCTTGGTAAACTTCAAATAACATGGCGTACAAATTTAGGTGAACCTGGGCGTTTACAAACACAACAAATTCTTGGAAATGTAAGTTGACTTTCTTGACTTTCTTTAACACATGATATTATTTTATCTATAAGTTTAAGCATTTGATTATTATTATTATTATTATTTTAATCATTGTGTAGCCCATTGCACATAAAGAGATTGAATTGAAAGCTATCAAGGTGCCACCTGTCATCATTTTAGAAAAACCCTTCACAGTAAGTACAATTTATTGTACTTGTATTATGTTTAATTAACTAGTTTTAGTTGTGTTAGTCAACTTGCCTCCACTCCTTTGACTTGTAACATTGTCTTTCTGATTGGGTCCAAATGATGAGATGGTATTGCAGCATCCACCAGCTCCAAAATACTGGACAAACAATTCGATTCTTATAAATACTACTAGTGTTTCCAATTTTCTTTTATATCCAAGAGTAAAAATTACCTCTGGTAACCAGTTTCGAGTCCAGCCCTTAGTATCATGCCTGAGACAACAAGACCAGCAAGGGGATCAAGAAACCTCACCCCAAGAATAGATCCACCTGAATCATGAATGAATGAATACCCATTTTCATATGTTAAATTAAGTGCTTAATGTTTCTTACCAACCCCTATAAGAGCACAATTCTCCATTTAGGTCAGGAGTCTTGATTTCTGCTTCTTGACCAGTATTTTGTAACCTACCCATCAATCCATGCTTTGTCTAGGTCTTCAACCCAGAAACAAGATCCTACTATGATATTCACTGAAGTGCTCTGTCGTACATAAAGTCACATACACACTTTAAGTCTATGCAATATTGTTAACATATATCAATAGTATACGTAAGTAATATGCACGTAAGGATGAATTGATTGATTGATTGATGGAAATATAAATGAATGAATGTAGGTGTGTGTAAAGGTTTGCCTGTTAAGCTCCATAGCAACATATATACACTATTTTGGTAATATTTACCACTTGATTCAATATCTTCATCATCTGATTTCATCAATCCCAATCGTATCATCTACCACAAGTTTATCCAACTCAGATAACATATCCAACCCTTTCTTCCTGTAATTAAACAATTCCTTATAGTTATAATACGATGAAACTTCCCTTTGTGTTTTGCAATCGGACATGCATACACCAAATTTCCTCTTTTATACCCTTAAGAGCCACATAAATGGTCTTACAGTTCAATGAAAGATAGAAAATCTCAGGGTGCCTTGTAAAGATTCGTCTAAGACCCTAACAATTCTTTTCTCCATTTAACTCACTTTATCAAGATTTTAAGAAGAGGCAGGCAGAAATACGACTAAAATTAGAACATTGGCTATCTATGGAGGGTGAAGGATTAACAGGAAACTCCACTAAATCTTCAAAAGCTTCCAAGTTTTGTATGAAATTAATGAGTGAAACTTGGAGATGCCAAATTTTGATAGCTCTGTTCTAGAGGATTAAGAGAGATAAAGGACAGAGAAAGCCCTAAAAGAAATTGTAGAAGATTTCAATTCAATATTGATATGGCGTAGTTGGGATGAGAGAGGAGAAAAGAGAGCACAATCGAGATTTATATAGGTAAAAGGAAATAATCTCACCTGAACATCGGGAATCACTCTAACTTCATCATTCGCATTGTCGGTTCCTATTTCAACCTGCTTCAGAAGGTGGTGATGGACTTATGAATGGAGATGAGTGGTTGTCGTGTGGCTCCAGACGTAATGGTGGTAAAGGGGGATTTATGGAGAACATATGAGAAACTTGATGGAGAATTGGATGGAACTAAATTCGAAGCCATAATCGCCAAAATCAGTGAGTCTTTCAGTAGATGGTGATGAAGAAGAAGACCAATCGGAAGGACCGATGAAAGAAACAACACCTAGGTAGAAGGATGACCAGAAAAAGGCGTGCAAGCATCTGCAAAATCTTGGAATTGAAATTAGGGCTATAAATCATACAAATCGAGATATGGAGTGAGGTTTATAGAATGAAAAATACACCTTTTGGAAGAAACACAGGCGGATAAACAGAAGATTATGCGATGTTCTGATATGCGAAGTCGGCGGGGTGCTTATCAGAAGCTTTAAGAAGCATCTGAGTCGGTGTTCTTATCAAAAGCTTTGAGAAGCTTTGAGAAGCATCATAAGTCGTAACAATAATAGGTGCATTCTTCATGTTTCTTCTCTTTTTGTCTCTGTCTCAGAGGGAGACTAGGGCTTGAAATTTCTTGATCTTCAGAGTGCCACTAGAGCAGAGATCCGATGAGACGATTAACAAGTAAGGTCAGGAGTAGCGGATCGGAGAGGAGGGAAAGGGGAGAATCGATTCAGAAGATGAAAGATAGAAAGAAGGTAGAAAAGAACAAGGCGGGTATTCAAAATTTTGGGGATTTCATTTTCCCCCTATCTACTAAATGCGCGTTCATTAAAATTATAAAGCGACACTCGCGTTGATTAAAATTATAAAGCGACACTTATAGAGGACGCACATTTAAGATACAGTGCCCTCCGTGTTTTTTTTTCTTATGACACTAATTTAAGGGCACGCAATAATGCGTGACCTAAATCGTTAAATTTTTTGAAGAGATGACACATTTTTAATGTCACTCTCTTTTGCGTAACATAAATCAATGAGTGTCGTGGTTTGCACGTCGTAAAAGGGTCTTTTTCTTGTAGTGTTTCCACATGGGAATGGGTAACGGCTGGACCTTGCCGTAAGGCCTCTGATGCTCAGCTTTGACCTTCCTGTAGGGCAAACACCGCTTAACAAACCAAGCAACTTGCTGCTTCATGCAGAGCCACCAGTAGCTCAATCTCAGGTCTCGGTACATCTTCGTGGCCCCCGGATGGATAGAAAACTTGGACTTATGCGCCTCCTCCAAAATCTTTTGCCTCACTCCTCCAAATGTCAGAACCCAAACCCTACCACACTGAGTCAATAATCCCCGGTTGTCTCTGACAAATAATGGAATCTGCCCCTAATCCGCTTAGTCTTCCAATTATCCTTTTTCAACCCCTCTACTTGTGCCTCTTTGATCATATCCATCAATGGTGAGGTAACCGTCATCCTCAAGCAAACATCTCGGATCGGAGCACTCGCTGCCTTTCGGCTCAAAGCATCGGCCACCACATTGGCCTTCCCGGGATGATACAAAATCTCGTTGTCATAATCTTTCACCACGTCTAACAACCTCCTTTGCCGTATATTCAAGTTCGGATGATCCATCAGATACTTCAAACTCTTATGATCGGTGAAAATGGTGCATTGGAACCCATATAAGTAATGCCTCAAAATCTTGAAGGCATATACCACCACCCCCAATTCCAAGTCATGAGTAGGGTAATCCGCCTCATCGGGCTTCAGCCGCCTCGAGGGGTAAGCAATCACGTGTCCCCTATGCATAAGGACAACCCCCAAACCCGAAATAGAAGCGTCACAATATACCACAAAATCATCCAATCCCTCGGGTAACACCAGAATCGGGGCCTCACACAATTGCTCTATCAAAGTCTCGAAGGCCAACTGATGATCTAGACCCCACCAAAAGGTCACATTTTTCTTGGTCAGACGAGTCAAAGGCACTTCAATTTTGGAGAAGTCCTGAATAAATCTCCGATAGTACCGAACACGGCCCAAGAAAACTACGGATCTCGGATACGTTCCTCGGAACCTCCCAAGGCATCACCGCCTCAATCTTGGCTAGTTCCACCAAGATATCCTCTTGGTTGATGATGTGCCCCAGAAACTGTACCTCACGCAACCAAAACTCGCATTTCGAGAATTTGGCATAAAGCCTCTCCCTCCTCAAGGTCTCTAACACCTCCCTCAAATACTGATCGTGCTGCTCCATGGTCTTGGAGCAGACCAAGATTTCATCAATAAAAAAAATCACAGACCTATCCAGCATCAGTCTGCACACCCGGTTCATGAGGTTCATGAACGCTGCTGGGGCATTGGTGAGCCCGAATGGCATCACCACAAACTCGTAATGACCATATCGATTCCCGAACCGTCTTTGGTATATCCTCATCCCTGATCCTCATCTGATGATATCTCGACCGAAGATCAATCTTGGAAAACCAATCAAGCCCTTCTTGGGGAAATCCCTACTTATGTGGTCCCTGATCCTCCAGAGAACCTCGGACAATCGGCCTTTTTATGACCGGTATTGTTGCATTGAAAACTAATCAAGCCCTTCTTGGGGCAATCCCTACTTATGTGGTCTGGCTGGCCACAAGCATAACATGTCGACCCTGCTACCCGACAAGCTCCACTATGCAGCTTGCCGCAGCTGGCACAGCGGCCCCGACCCTGCTGGCCTCTGCTGGGAGGATCGGAGGTCTTAGGCTTCTTAGCCTGACCCACTGCCGTCTAAACCTGCTCCGACTTTCGCTTCGTCCGGAGCTCCATCTCAATTTCCCGTTCCCAGGCCTTCTCCACCATGTCATTCAGGGTCTTGCACCCCGAAAAGCTCACCAACTCTCGGATATCATCCCTCAGCATGGAATGATACCTCATCTTCTTCATCTCCTCATCTGCAGCGTACTGCGGAACCAACAGTGCTCTCTCTTTGAATTTGGCAGAAATCCCCGCCACAGTCGCCATGGTTTGGTGAAGGTCCTGGAACTCCCTCACCAATCGCTACACCTCAATGGCCAGTGAAAACTCCCGATCAAACCTCCGCACAAACTCCTCCTATGTCATCTCAGCCACACCCGTTGATCCTATCTCGTGGGTAACCTCTTCCCACCAGTATCGTGCCCGATCCCTCAGCCACACCCGTTGATCCTTCCGCCTCGGGGCAAAAGCTTGTGCACTGGGTATTCTCCATGTCAGCAACCTAGTGACGACTAGCGATGGGGTCCCTAGCCCCAAAGAACTCAGGCGCACCACACGCCTTGAACTCCTGAAATAAGGGAGTTCGAGTCCCAATCTGACCCACAACAATCTCGACTCAGAAGGACCTGAGTCGTTCCTCCATAATCTCCATGATCCCCTCCTTGACGGTACCAAAGATCATAGAGGTAGCGTCAAGGATGCCATGAGTAACCTCAGCCGCGATAAGCTCACGCAGCCTCTCATCAATTGGCTCTGCACCAGAGTCTGAACCTGTTCCCGATCTTGATCCCGAACCCGAACCTCCTCGCGTAATCATCACCACCCTCAACTGAAAAATACAATATAAAGAGAAATTGATAAGGAAGTTCGAAGGGATTCCTTCTCACCAGACTCCTCAGAGCTTCCAGGCATGTCCTTGTTTTAGGTACAGGTCCTGTGCTATCAGTAGTACGGGCCCACTACTACCTTCTACACCTACATGTACCTTCCCTAAGACCATACCTGATACCTCTAATTCACCCAACCACATATAAACATGACTCACAGAACACAACACAAACTCAGATCCTAGACTATTCTAGGATTTCTGAATCCTCATCGAACCAGAAACCTAAATAAATCATTGCAGGTTGCTCTATGCATACAAGTTATATAAAAATAGAATCACATACACCGTCAAATAAAGCTTCTACCCTAAAACCACAACCAAACAAGGAACATGAAATAAGGCAGAATCCATTATTCTAGGGCTATGCAATCCTAGACATATACAACTTCGAAAGCATACACATAGCAAATAACCAAGTCAACATCAATTTCAAGAATATATTTCTAGCATGGGTAATACATTGGGAACACTTGCTTGAGATCGGCCGATTTCGCGCATCGCACTCTCCTCTTTACTTAAGAAAACTGTTTTCAGAAAAATTTAAGTTTTGTTTCTTTTAAAAAAGGTTTACCATTTCCTCAGTTTGAGTTCTGACACACCCGAGAGTGTGCCCAAATCCCTCAAACCAAGGCTCTGATACCAACTTGTAACAACCCAAACATTTAGATAAAAAATTTCATTTAAATTTAGAAATTACAATCATGTTTTGCCTTCCAAAATTCCATTACATCAAATCATATCCAAAAGATTAGAGTATCCAAAACAATAAATGCGGAAATACTAGAGAATGGATGTTGCGCCGTCAAGCCGGGCCCTTCCCTTTAGAACTAGAAGTACCTAAAACACCCAAAAAACTGTAAGCAAATGCTTAATGAGATCACAAAATACACACAACATACAACCACATGATACCATGAAACATATATATAGAATTTCCATGGACTCCCTCCATGGTCTTCACCTGGAATGCAATGGGCTCCCCCCATGGTCTAACATCCAAGGTCCATGGGCTCCCCCATGGTCTTTACTTGTAATGCCATGGGCTTCCCCCTTGGTCTTCACATAAATCATTACATGCCAACTAACAAGACTGTTGCATAAAAACTATTAAGACCACATATCAAGTGATGGGTCGGCATTGGTGCCTTCGATCCATTGGTATAATGAGAAGACTCACCTCAGTCTGCTAAAAACAATAGCTGCTCGGCTACTAATCCAAAAGTCTCACTTCAAATGGAAATTAGGGTTTCTAGGGACGTTGAGAGGCAAAGGAGGCTGATAGAAATGAGGTCCAAAGGTTATAAGATTGTTTAAATAGGGCACAAGACCACAACTTAGGGTTTTCAATCCATGAAGCGTATACCCTGCGTACCTCCTTGTACGCCCCGCGTGCGTGGCTCCGGTGCCCGATGAATGCGCGCCCTAGTATGTTAAGCGTACATGCACGTATGCCTAGCATACGAGGGGAGGATTTTCTTGACAAAAACTTGAAATTAAACAAAAGGAAATATACCTGGATTTCGGA